CCACAGAGTGGGAAGTCTGAGGCAGTCTTAACTAGTTCCTAAGGGGCAAGATCATTCCCACGGACATCTGGTGTCACCCACAGCTGGGTTAAACTCCCTGTGCGGAAAGCAAAGGGCAGGGAATGAGAGGAAACCGAGGTCGGCACTAAAGCAGGACTGGACTCCCAGGCTATCGGTCACTGCCGTCCACCCCGCCCTCCCCGGGGCCCAGACCTACATTCTTCCAGTAAGTCTGGGAGTCGCCCCGTGGTGAGCCCGTCACCACCTCGCAGGCAGACGGCAGGCACCTTCCACAGCAGTCGCCTTCGTGCAAGACATAGGTGAAGCCCTGGAAGAGCAGGAAGAGCACGGAGTGAAGACAGCCAGCAGCTCAGACGCTCCCCATGCGTGCTGAGCCCTGGGGTCTGCAGAGGGACAGCCAGACTGCACATCCTCATCTTTGCCGTCAGCCGATTCAGGACCATGCCAAGGAGCGGTTAGGAGACACTGACCACTGAGTCACTAAGCTGGGTCTTACACCGGCTGAAGAGATGTAAGCTCGCTGTCTGAACGATTTCACCCTGAGGCTAAAGACCCAGTACTAAAGACATGAGGGTTTTAAAGCAGCCCACAGTTCACTTAGCAGCAGCTATTAACCTGATCGAATCTAGGGCACATCACTGACTAGGGGGAAACCCTCAAGACACCTGGGATCTAGTCTCTGCTCTAACAGGGCTCACTACCTATACAAGTTGGGTACCCTGATCCCAGCGCCTCTCACCAGTGTGCAGAGCTGGGCTTCCCCTTGACTTCACGCTTGTGCCCCTCTCTGGGGAGCACAACTCTGGAGACTTGGCTCAACTTCTCACCATCTCCACGGGGCCTATTGACATCCCTACCTGCATCAGAGCAGCGTGCAGCGAGCTGGCCCCAGTATTTTACCAATGAGAGCCGAACCATTTATTGTGCATCTGTGGGGTACTAGGCACCATGGGGGAGCCAACAAACTAGAATGGTACAATCTGCACACCCTCCACTACGCAGAACATACGAAATGACGTAAAAGAAACAGAGACTCATGGGAGTCGGAAACCTGCCATTTACCTAGTAGTTTCTGGGTATGCTGTTCTTTACAAAGGGAAAACGAGATGAGAGAGCAACAGAGACCAGCTGTCCCCAGAAAGCCTGCCCAGGACGCCGGCATCGTGGGAGTGAGTCGCCCATCCTGCCTCTTGAAGGTCCTCCAATCTGGCCAAAGCACTCAGACCTCAGATTGAAACCCTCCTCTGAAAAGTCTGAAGCCATGTTCAAAGAATAAGCTGGGCACGGACAGTGTCGTCGTCCCAGGAGGCCAGGCCAAAGAACCCAGGACTATGCTTCGTCTTGGAGCTGTGTCCATAGGGGAGAAGGGGTAACTGCAGCTGCTCCGGATGGGAGTGGATGCCAAGGCCGTTCTGCTCCCCAAGCACACTCACGAGCAAGTCAGATCAGAAGACGTGCACGACACGTGGGCCCCTCTCTGGGGAGCGCCACAACTCCAGAGACTCGGCTCAACTTCTCACCATCTCCACGGGGCCTGCCGACATCCCCACCCGCATCATAGCGGTGTGCAGTGAGCTGGCCCCAGTGGGTTATGAGC